CAGATAATTCACTAAAATGCCAAAGTATGGAAATCAGATGTGTTTGCTGGATGGAGGTGAAAACTGCTCTCACTTCCCACCTGTCCAAGAGCTCAAGACTTTAGCCCAACCTGCATTTCAGTCCCTTGCAATTTACTGAATCAAAGGGTACACAGCTAAACCTGATATCTAAACCCACCCAATTCTCCAGTCCCTGAGACTGCCACTAAACTTAACAGCCCAAATTGCTGCAATTTACCTGGCAGGTTCCCCACAAGCCAAACTAAATCAACTCAGTCCATCAGATTTTCGTAAGCAGAGTCAGTCCATCACTGCCTCCCTCCTCAAATTTCAGAACCTGTAAAAGGGTCATGGGGCTAGATCCACGGAACATGGCAAGAAAGAAACCAGTCTAGCGAGTTTTGGTGACAGAGACCCTGATCTGTCATTCAGATCCACCCAATATATGAGCTCATGCACTTAGGAGCATTTCTAATCTGGAGTTTAGTCACAAACCATACCTGAGAGCAACACTGCCTCCAAACCACCTTTACAAAGCATGTTAAATGACCTTCTATGAAAAATAGGGAAACTCCATTTAGAAATAATATAATCCATAAAAGTCTGAAATGGGGGTGAAGAATGAAAGACAGTTAAGAAGACTCATAGGTGGAAAGCTAGAATTACATCCTACAAATTTGGAAGTGTAAATAAGCTCAGACATCAGTTGTAAAATTCAAAATAAAGTATAATTTCAATACAAAAGTATACTTAAAAATAATAGGAAGAACTGATTGCCATATGAAAGGCCAGTATCAAAACACAAGTAAATAAGGAAACACTAAATGAATAATGTTTCAAAAACGCCAAAAGTCCTCATAGAAGAAAATGGCAATGGATTCCTTGATGGCAATAATCTTTTCAACTGTCAATGAACTGAACTAACCTACAAAAGGCATAAAGTTTCTGGCTGGATTCTGAAACAAAGTACAACTTTTGTACTTACAAGAGACTAATTAGGATCTCCAAAATAAACAGTAGCTCCCAATAAAAGATGGGGAAAAATTCCTACATCAGAGGTGAGGAACAGAGCAGAGAAAAAGTGCAGAGGGTAAGGTGCTCACCTTGCATGCAACCAACCCAATTTAGAGCCCTGGCATGGCATATGGTTCCCAACCATAGCCTGGAATGATTCCTGAGTGAAGATTCAGAAGAAAGGCCTGGGCACATCCTGGTATTACCAAAACCCAAAACTGAACATAAACAAAAACCACAAAATCAGAAAGACTGGAAGAAAGCAGTGTTGTAGGGATGCACTAAAAAAAAGAACCCTCATTCACTGTTGGGTGGAATGTTAAGCCTCAGTGGAAAACAGCATGGTGACCTCAAAAAATTAAAAACAGAACACCTGTAAGTCTTATCAACTTCACTCCTAGACATTTCTACCAAGAACACTAAAACATTCATTCAGAAAGATATATGCACACCTAAGTTCACTGCAGCACTATTTATAATAACCAAGATATGGAGCAACCTAAGTATCCAATGTCAATGAATGAATGAAGAAACTGCTTTGCATATGTATATGTGTACACATATATACATATATATAACAAGTACATATAAATACACCAACAGAACACAATTGTTATATATAAGGAAATATATATAGCAATTATATATATGTGTACACACACACACACAAACATATATACACCAACAGAACATAATTCAGCTATATTACCTTTCAACTGGGATAGAGCCAGAGAGTGTCATGTTAAACAAAATTAGAGGGAAGACAATTTCCAGATAATCTCTCATATGTGGTATGTAAAGGAAAAAGCAAGGGAATGACAACAATCCCTTGGAAACTGAATACATAATTGAGGTTATCAATTAGGGAGTGGTGATAAGGAAGAGAAAGAGATGGAATCTTGGGCACTCTGGTGATGATCAAGGGGCATAATTTTGTGTACCATATCCATGAAAGCAAATACTATCATAACAATGTTACCTAAACTACAATATTAAAAAAATATAAGAAAACCAAGCTATCCTAAAGATTTTAGGATCAAGTGCTATAATTTAGATAGCTTAGTATAGTATCTGAGAGTGAATCTTCAATAAAAGTAGGTTATTTTATCATTATTATTATTATTATTTCAAACAGGAAAATCTATGTGACATTTGAAAAATCAACACTTTGTAAAGTAACTTAATTATGAGTTAAATAGTAGCTAACATAATAAAATTACCCTCAAGTACTTTGACTCTGTAGGAATTATATAAACACAATGATTGTGTTTTCTAGTTCAGATGGTTTCTACACTGGATGCCTAACTGGACCCCCTACCATCAGTCTTTCTATTTATCTGTCTTCTCATTACTGCCAAAGACACTTCTCAAACACATTTCTCAGCACGTTACTTCTGAGGACAGAAACCCACATGGGCTCTCGTGCTAAAGAATTCTGGAACTAAACAAAATAACCTAGCTACTTGTTCAGAAAATAGTTGGTTCTAAAAAATAAGATTACACACCAACTAAAATAGCTTTATCTATCAGACTTGCAGTTCTCTGATTACTTGCTTCACAACCCTCTCTTTGTTGTATCCATCAGTTCAAATTTATGTCATAAACTGTCTAGTCCTCACCAGCATTCTATTTTGAAATCAGCCTGCCAAAGTCAGGTTGATTTAATGGTATATTGGTTTAATATACTGATACAAGGTCAATTCTATCAATACACTTTCCTTATTTATTCCATCTTGGTAGCTACTGGGATTTTATCTAGGATGGTTCTTCCATTCTGAAATAAATTTAATAATCTCAACTACCTGGTAATAATGGTCTTCAGAGAGCTGACAGTATATTCTCTAGCTCAAATTTCATAATAAGTTATTGCCTACAAATTGAAATAATTTGACAAATAGAACACATGCATTGGAATTACTTATGCTACATCTATCACTTAAGGGTCTATGCAACCTTAGGTTAGTTATTTTATGTCTGTGAACCTTACATTCTTCTGAAATATGGGAGACTAGAAGTGCCTGCTTCACAGATAGGACAGTATATGACCACTAATCTACTAGGGGTCAAGCCTTAGAGCCTAGAAATATAAATATGACTAAGATATAGAACCTTCCTGAAAGAACTTAGAACCTGGAGGGTAACCACTAGTGATCACTTCATTAAGTATCTAAAAGAATGATTTCTAGGAATATGTTATCCCTAGATGATCTAGGATAATCTCGAGGGATGTGTTAATCACAACGGGTATTTGAAATAAATTTTCTAATTTACTTTTCATTGTTAACATTCTCATATGTGCAAAAGAGCATTCTTAATATATGTAAAAAACTAATACTTGTTGAAGCTACACTAAGGCCAAGAATTAACATATATATAAACTGACTTTTGAGTTTCTGGGACAAGAAAAGATGATCTCTGATTTCCATCACCCCTATCAGATGTTTCAGTCTGATTAGTTCTAGTGATAAGTTAGAGAACAAGTGAGTGCTCAGAGATTTCTAGAGTCATCTGGGAATATCATAAATTTGTAGCTTTGAGAACCTGTTGTCCATAAGGACACTTAGGGCCCCATCCAGTACTCCTGCCCTTGGCTTTCTTAAAGCTTTGAAACTCTCTTTAAACAAGGATATTTGCCTGAGACAGATGGAAAAACAGAGATCTCCTTAAGCCACCTGTATGAAACAGAAAAACATTCAGGTATGTGAAAAAAGAGAAAGATTCAGTGATGAGACTGAGAAACATGCCATTCTCTAGTTATTTGCGGCCTTTACTGTCAAAGGGAGAGACTGGATGGGATGGCTGGAGTAGTTCCTCTGAGGTGCAGTGGTCTCTGGTCCTTTGAAGCCAGTAGGTTCAATGAAAATGAGTGCTTCCTCCTCTCTCACTTCCAACACTAATCTGTCCTCTCTCTCTCACCAGCACTTTCTGCCTTCTCATTCTAAACTTTCACCATGCTTTCAAACATGAAAATGGATTCTCTACCTCAAAATTAAAGCAAAATCTTTTTTAGACCCAACACTGACTCTACTACTAACCTGTCTCCTTTAACCTTTATACTGTCAAATTCATCAACATGTGGGTTACCCTTGAAATTTCATCTTCTAATAACCACTGACTCTTTCCATTCTTCTTCCAGATCCCAAAACCCTATTGTATTTGCTTCCAAGACAGACATAAATGACTCTTAAATACATTCAACAAAACTCAACAACAGTCAGTTCTCAACTCCCAATATGGCAGGCAATATTGACTGAAAAGTACTGTAAGTTTCAAGACCTTCCTCCATCTGGGGTCCACCCACACCAACCACTCTACTTTGCCTCAGGCTGTGTCCTTTAAACATGTGCGACTATAGTGCATGTTAGAAAGATCACTTTACATCCTTCCTCAAAAGAATAATGTATCAGTGAAGTATGAGGTATTAAAAAGGGGGGGGGAGTTGTTAGTGGATGTAAGAGTAACAGCAATTAACTAATGTCAAACAATAGGGGGATAGAAGGAGGTCATGTGGATATTCTTTGTGTATTATTTTATGTAAAATGTCATTGATCACATCAACTGCAATTCATCAGCAAGTCTCCTCTTCCCATCTAAGTTCACAGAATGGCGTTTGGAATCCTACTGATATCAGGATGGGATGGGAGTCTATAGTGTTTTGAATTCAAATCTAATATGAAAATTTTCCGTGATAAAGTTCCAGAGTTTTAGGGGCTCGAGGGACAGCAGAGAAGGCAGGGCGGTTGCCTTGCAAGCTGCCAACCCCAGTTCGATTCCCAGCATCCCATATTGTCCCCCCAAGCACCGCCAGGAGTAATTCCTGAGTGCATGAGCCAGGAATAAACCCTGTTCAATGTCAGGTGTGGCCCTCCCCACCCCACCCCCGCCAAAAAAAAAGCAATAAATAAATAAATAAATAAAAAGTTTAAGAGTTGAACAGAGTGATGCGGTTGGGGGTTGGGTGACAAACGAACCAAAGGATCGATTACCTTAGAGCAAGAACTCGGGGCGTTCAGGCCTCTCTGCCTGCTTCAGCGCCTCGTGCATGCCTGCAGCGGAGAGCTTACGGTTGATGTTGCGGTACTGGCACTGGAGCAGGCTCTTGTAGGTGGTTCTCAGGTCGCGGTTGAAGAAGGCATAGATAAAGGGATTAATGAGAGAGTTCGCGTATCCCAGCCACAGGAATGTCCTCTCCACCCACAGCGGGATGCAGCTGCACACCGTGCCGCAGATGAAGGGCCGAGCCGTAGAGAGGAGGAAGAAGGGCAGCCAGCAAATCGTGAAGGCTCCAACGATGATGCCCAGGGTGGTCGCAGCTTTCTGTTCCCGCTTGAAGATGGAGATGTTCCTCCGCTGGTGCTTGAGGAGCCGGGACAGGTTGGCGCACTCCTCCACATCCTTCAGCTTTCCCATGTTGTGCAGGGAGATAGCACCCTCGGGCCCGTCGAGGCGGGGGAAGCCGGGGAAGCGGTGCCTGGCGGCGCTCTTGCGGGCAGCCTTGTAGATGCGGTAATACATGAAGAGCATGACGGACATGGGGATGTAGAACGCCACGGCGGTCGAGTAGATGGTGTAGCCGAAATCCTGGCTGATCAGGCACACCTTGTTGTCGTTGACGTTCTGGGCCCATCCGAAGAGAGGAGGCAGAGTGATGGAAGCCGACAGCAGCCAGACAGAGATGATCATCTTCGCCATGCATTTTCCGTTCTGTCTCACGGGGTAGGTCAGGGGTCTGGTGATCCCAAGGTACCTGGAAGACATAAAGGACGCAAACAGGTGAAGCTTCTGATCGCAACAACTAACCAACCAGGAATTACCCCGACCTGGGCACTAGGCTTTAGAGCTCACAGATTCACTGTCACAACAGCTCTTCTCAAGAGACACAATGACTCCCATCACCCAGAAAAGAAAACCAAGGCTTGCAAATGTCACCTACGTTTTTCCATGTCACAGTCAACCATACAGAGTCAGGGGTTCGTCCAAGTGACCTCTGCCCATAATGTCAGTCCATACATTTTCATGTTGAAGCTTTTTCACATTTCACGTATCAATGAACTTCAAAATTAAATACTCGCCCTGCCCCCATGACTACTCCCATGAAGTTTGGTTGGAAACAAAATGTCAAAGTTGATGTGGGACATTGTGACAACATCCTCAGGTTATACTCTGATATGAGTATCTCCCACTGGTCTTCCAAGCTCTCTACATTCTAACCAGCTTTTAATTCATCTGAACTCCTTTTGAACGGTTGCCAAAACATTTCTCTGAGATCACAGAGATTTGTGTGATATGTAGGAAATTCAGGGACTTGGCATTGCCAGTGAGCATTTCTTAACCCTTAGGAAATTCTCACACTAGAGTAACACCAGCAGAAGCATCTATAAAATAGAAACAACTGCTTTGTTCTCCTCTCTTGAGGACCACAAGAGCATTAGTCAAACCCAACACTTTCTATGTTCACTTTTATAAGATAATATTTCTCCATCTTGTTACCAAAGATTTATAATACTCACTAGAGAAAACACAAATCGTAAATTTTACCAAATGATTAATAGTTTTCAGCTTTCAATTTTGTTTTTACCTCTGCATTTAAAGGAAGCATACAAAGAACTTAAGAAGTCCTAACTAGTAGATGCTGCTCATTTTTGTTGTTTTCTTAACTTATATATGTAACACAAATACACTTGAAGCATGAAAAGAAAAGGTGCAGAGTCCCAAAAGTATCAACAGGTTATTTTATTATTTGAAAGTCTGTCAGAGTTTAAGTTGTAATTTCTACTAGAAATATCCTTATGAACTTTGCTTAAATTAGTCGACAAAGGTAAAAAAAAGTGACACCTTCACAATTAAGATGAATAATGCAATATTTCCAAAAGGCAAACTGAAATAATATAAAAGGCATAAGCTAGATTTGCTTTGCAAAAAAGAATATTAATTCATTTTTTTAGAAATTATTAGATAGAGCTCTACACCAAGTGCCGTTTTAAATGTTTAGCGATAGCAGTGAACAAGAGACAAAAGTCTTGAATGCAAGTCAAGTGGCTGATCTGAGACTGAACTTCAAGATAATGCAAAAGGAACTCCCTATTTTTCCAAAGATCAAGCACACTTTCTTCATTTATAACTATTGCCTTCCTTTTTCCTTAATAAAGCTGATCCAAGTGTACTATGCCTACAATTATCAACTGTAATTAGGAGTATGTGTTGGTTCCCTACTAGAATAATAAATGAGAAAGAGAAAGGTATTTCCGAAAGCAAGAAAGAGGTGAAAAAGAAGGAAACAGAAAGGAGGGAAGTTGAGAGGGAACAAGGACAGAGGAAGGAAAAGACAAGATGAAGAGAAAGTCAGAGAAGAGAAATAGGAAGCAGGCTTGGTCTAATGTGGAATCATCTGAAACCTCAGTTTTAGGCTACGGGAGTGGGGAGGGGGATTCTGTCTTTCTTTGATTCAGGCGCTCTATCTGCATTTCCTTCTGGAACTTTGCAGATTTTTTTTTTTTTTTTGCATCCATCCTTGCACTTCTATCAGCATCTTTGGATGCAGCCCTTTTTGTCTCCTTGTTTCCCAGCTCCACTGCGAAGTCCTTCTGAGGACTTGAATTTTGATTATCTAGTCTTTGTAATTATCGGGACAAACCATTGGTTCCCAAGTCCGGGTCTGGCTCCCAAGACACCAACCAGATTGAAGGTTCAACAGGAAGAGGTGAGCTCTCACCATTTTCTTGGTGGCCAGCAGATGGCATTGTTAGACCATCTTACTCCTACTTACTGGGGTAAGGGTGAAGTGGGGGTGCTGATGATGGGAATTTAAGAGCAATAGGTAGAAGAAGTAGGGTTAATTACAATAAAACAGGTAGATGAAGTAGGGTTGCTTATAACACGAAAGTAAGATTTCTTTTATTGTGGGATTATACAAAAAGTTAACAAGCGTAGATTCTACAACCTGGTAAACTCCTGTTTCTGTGAAAATCAGTTCAATTTTTCCTTCAATTGCTTCACATTTTCCCTACTGAAACAGGAATCTCTATCTACAGGGTTAATTAGTTCTAGTCACTGTCCTGAAAACTTATACAAAAGATAATAAAGACTGATGCTGGAAGATGAACCAAGAACTAAAAGATATCTCAGAATATTAGGAAATCTCATAAGAACAGCACCCATATTCACTCTACTATACTTAATCTTCTGTTTCAGTGACGGAGATGGAGCAAAATTCAGTTCTTCGTGAATATTCGAGTTCATAATATATTCCATAGTATAGAATATACCAAAACCTTTGTCCTAATTTAGGGGTCCATTTTTCAAAGATCTCAAGTCACAACTTCCAGTAAGAAAGTTATATTTGCTTCTTCAGTCTTCTGGATGAGACCTTTCAAGGCTAAAAGCAACTGAAATGTGATTAGAAAAAAAGAATAAGGGCAAATTTAAAGTGTCTGAAAATAAAATTCAGAAAAATTTTTAAATATAATAAAAATTGCAAATAATGTGGGAGAAAATAGTTCACTGAAAAAATTAAGGTGCCTAGAAAATTTAAGTACAGAACCTAAATAAAGAAGAGAATTTTTAAACGGCCAGGACATACATTCATTTTATGCAGCAAGAGAAGAGAGTAGCTGAACCCACAGTGGGTTGAGGCATGGAGGAACCACAACCTTTTAAAAACTCCAGTGTTATAAAAGTGCTAAGTTTTCTCTTAAGTTTGATCCCTGTCACTTTATGCTCCCTTCCCACAGCCTTGGCAGGTGTGGCACTGGACTTCAGAGATTAGAAAATAAAACCAGGGGTCATTTGATATTCATAACATCATTCATGAGCCATACAATATAAGCAGAAGGACTGTGGACAACCAGTGAGGAATACACATGTCTGTACCACTAGGGTCAGGCTACATGAATTTATAAGGTGTGGGCCAGATGATCTCCACCTCTGGACTAGAGGCTGCCAATTTTCCTGGCCTCAAACCCTAAGTACTATCAATCTTGACCCCCCCTAAACTTCCCCACAGCACTTTGGGGAATGGTCCCATAAAAAGAAAATCTCCACATTAATAGCGAGAGTTAAAAACTATAGAAATAAAATGAAACAATAAATATAAAGTCCAACTAATACTATCCCAGTATTCACTTTGAAGTCAATAAGAAAAAGACAATCATTGCTATAAAAATATTGAAAAAGTTAATTTGGTTAATCAAAAGTTAATTTTATTTAACAAAAAAGAAATTTAAGTATCTAATAAGCACTTGGAAATATCAACAAATGCATTCATAGCCAAAGAAATACAAAATTTCAAGTGCTTACCAGAGCATTTGGTCACTTGTCAAGTTTTAAGAAAGAGAACAATATTGGGAAATTGTGGAAAACACCCACTTTACTTTTGCTAGTGATATTTTCAATTAAAATAACAGCTCTGGAGGACAGTTTGTTAGTTAATATACACCAACATCTCCTTTTTGGCTAAGTAATTTAATTTCTAAGAATCTATCATGAGAATATAGTTGTACAAGATCAGAGATGGGTTCAAGGGGTAGAGCACATGACTTGCTGTTGTGAAGCCCTAGTTTTTATCTCCAGTACCACAGGGTTCCCCCCAGAACAACCTGATGTAGTTCTGCATCCCACCCACCTCAATAGTGTCTCGTGTGTCCCTTGCCTCGTGTGTCCCACCACAACAATAACAAGAATATAATTGTATAGGTTCAAGATGACTAATGTACGAAGATATTAACTAAGGCTCCAAGAGAGAAGATACAATCTACTCTGTCTATTTACTGAAGTATACTAAATTGTATATGTCCATTTATTGACATGAAAGCCACAAAAAAGTAGACAGACTATCACAACTAGCCTAAAAGACAAAGCCCACAAGAGTGGCGTATGTTTTTTATATAAATCTAAGTATTTCTCTCAATGTGTGTGTGTTCACTCAGGTGTCTCCAAGAACATCTAATAAAATATTAATAGTAATTTTATCCGAGTTATAGATATTTAATTAGATTTAAATTTTTTGTAACCTTTTTCATGATTAATTCTTAACTGCATCTTAAAAGCCATTTTATTCTAAGAACAAAATTAAAAATTCAAAAGGATTCTGTTATTTCCTAAGCCACCTAAGTGATTTTGCCAACAGAGACAACCTGGTTCATAAAATCTTTCCAAAGCTGATAATTAAATCTCAGATTGCTTTATTTGATTAACTTGTCAAAAGTGTTTTACTACATTCATACATTCACACAAAGGAAGCTGAACTCATTGGCATTTAAAATCCCATAATTACTATATAAAGTAATATTGGTATTCAGGGAAGTGCTTGTTCAAATTATACATTCATTCATCCAGATCTTGTATAGTATAAATCTTACCTTTGAAGAAGGGGCTGAGGGGGGCGAAACTACCTAGATTGATTCTGATTATTCCCTAATGTACATGGCTAATATTTGTCACACTAACATTTTATACTCAGTGTTAATTACAAAGCATGGAGCTTATAAAGTCTTCAGAATTTAACTTTAAAATACACACAATATTTAAAGTAGAGTAAATGTCAAAAAGCGCCGAAAGCGCCAAAGTATTATATTTTTGAGAAATGTATGCAACTCACATTAGGGGTTCCATTAAAATTGGGGATTAGAGAAAAAGAAGATTAGGAAGTTATAATCTGCATAGGGGGGAAATCTAAAGCAAATGAACTCTGCTGTCTGTCTTCCATACTAACTGTATAGAAATTGCATATAATATTTTTTACTTAAATGG